GTAGACGAGGTCAGCACAGATTCTGCTTTGGTTTTGGCAGGGCTCTGGAATACCAGGGAGAACTCTGGGAAGCAGAAAGCTATTTCATTTAAGTGACAAAGCCTATGCCTTTCTATGACTCAACAAAATTCTGCATTTCCAGCAAGGACTGCATCCATCTCAGCAGGGATGTGCTGCAGTCGAAGCCCCTCTTTACAAATACTCAAGCTAACTGGCCTTGAGTGGGCCATGTTCTTGCATAGGAATTGTGATATTCATCATCTAAGAGAGAGCATTGCAAGTAAACCTTTACAAATAAAGCTGTGGCATTCTTATTGAATACTTGCAGTAGGCTTTTGGCATGGTGTTTGGGGATTATCAAAAGTTGTTTTTAAGCCAATTCTTGAAGCCTAAGGAGGTCTCTCCCCTCCCCCATTTTTTCCCCCTCTTCACCCAGCAGTCAACATTAACAGTACAAAGAGCTGTATTACTTAGACCTGAGTTAATAGCTCATAGAAGATATTTCCAAAGGTGCTTTAGGATTTTTGTTCATCTGAGTTATCCAAAATAAGTGTCTAAAATGTGGACTAATGGTTGTTCAAAGCCACAGTGTGATGATTCTGTGTCAAGGTACATAGAATCCCATTTGATGCTCTGATGGGATAGTCAACTTGCTTAATATAGTGCTGTCTCTCTCCAGAGATGAAGCAGCTGATCCAGTTTGTTGGAATTTTAAGACCTGGGTTAGAGCCTCTAAGAGGGAAGCTAAAGTGAATGAGCATTTCCACTTATTCTGGATCTGTTTTACTGATTACTAGAACATTCTTTTTCCTGTATTTTCAAGGAAATATGTTCAATTAGCTGTCACTAAAATCTGTTTTTCAGAGGTTTGGATAATGCAAAGATTTGAATTGAAGAATTTGAGGATTGTCAAGAAATGACTGGCTAGTCTCACCTTAGTTCCTTAGGTAGAACTGTCAATTTTAATTTAGACTGCATTGTTTAAAGCTGTTCAGAGACAAGGTCATAAATAATTAAGAGAGTGGATGAAGCAAATATGCATTCTTAAGAAGCTTCTTATCTGATGTTATAAGCAAAAACACAGGACATTATTTCTTTCAGAATGATACAGGTGTTGGACCCGAGACCCTTGCCGAGCTCCATCATGCCTGTGGACGTGGCCATGCGAATTTGCTTAGCCCATTCTCCACCGCTGAAGAGCTTTCTCAGCCCCCTCGAGGACTGCCAAAGAAAAAACTTTGTGAATAGACTCAAACCTCTCAGACCGTGCCTTCATGTGAAACGTGACTCTGAAGCTCAGCAGAGCGACTGGAACCACTCGTCAGCCCGAGCCAAGAAGCGAGTCGTGTTTGCGGACTCGAAGGGGCTGTCCCTGACGGCGATACACACCTTCTCTGAGTTCCAGGAGCACCCTGGGTGCGATCTTCAGTTTGACCTCTTAGGCATCGAAGACATAACATCTGACCTAAAATTGCATGAGGAGAAAAACTTGATTCTGGGTTTCCCTCAGCCCTCAGCTGACTACCTGGACTTCAGGAACCTCCTGCAGAAGAACTTGGTCTGCCTGGAGAACTGCACCCTGCAAGAGAAGGTGTTGTCAGGCACTGTGAAAGTAAAAAACGTGAGCTTTGAGAAGAAGGTTCAGGTTCGAATTACTTTTGATACATGGAAGACCTACAGGGATGTTGAGTGTGTATACATGAACAATGTTTACAGCGATTCTGAAAATGATACCTTCTCATTTACCATCGATTTACCTTCTGCCATTTCCTCTGAAGAGAAGATAGAGTTTTGCATTTCTTACCAAAGTGAAGGACATACCTTCTGGGACAATAATGAGGGTCAGAATTACAAGATTGTTCATGCAGAGTGGAAGCCTGATGGTGTTCAGATACCATCTGCCAAGAAAGACTATGTAGATCGTCAAACTCAACGGAGAGGACAAGAGAGAGAGCCTGATCAGCTTGGCAGTCCGAGGCTGTCCAGTGGCCTCTTTCCCCAGTGGCAGAGCTTGGGTCAGATTGAAAATTCATCACCATATTGGTGATCCATAATACCAAGGAAGCATTCTTCTATTTGGCAACAGAACAGCATTAGTTTTCTGGTGCACATACTACATGATGAAAGCACCTAGCAGGTTTTGTTTGCTATCTGAAGAAATCCAAATTCATTAGTCTGTGGGACTTGTTAAACCATATTACACTACTGAAGTTCTTAGCCAAACCTTATCCTTGGAAGGAAAGAAAACCAAGGTAAAAACCCACGCGTATGCCACCTGCTATAGAAATAGCGTGCCTGTATCTCAAGTATATGCTGCTTTCTTTCTGCTGTCAGGTCTCCCAGCTCACTCCAGGGGACAGACTTGCAAAGTAGTATGGAAGGCAACGGTGTGTTAGCAAGCTGTAATAACTGCATTCCTGAGAGTACGTGTGTGTGCAGTGTCGCAATTCACTTTGCACATATTAGGAGTGCAGCAGATGCTGTCAGGAGGCTTGATATGAGCCTCTACATGCTTGTGGCAGAGGCAGGTAGGGATGCGTGGCAAAGATTTGGGGCTTCAATACAGGTTTAGAAACTTGGAGAGGATAATGGAGAAGTAAGAAAAGAGGATGAGGTAGCATGCGCTATATAACTTGGAGATGTGCAATGTTCTAATTGCTTCTTTCCAAAGCTGTTTTTCTAAATCCCAGGGGAAGTTCTAGGGGATAAAAAGACTAAAGAAAGTAATGCAAAGTGGGTGGTGGAAGTGACTACTACTTAGAGAAGATGTCTGTCCTCACTGGCTTTTTCGAATGCCTTGCATTTGATAACAAATCTAGCCTTGACTTCATCATCCTGCTCACTTAGCAGGCAGATGGTTACCTTTTATTGTTAAAAGAAAAATGTGCCTTTAAAAAAAATTTCAAACCACCCTAATATGCCAGAAGTAGGGTCAGGTGACAAAACATCAATTTTTAAATTTCCTTGGCCCGTAACAGCAATTAGGTGCTTCTATTCATCACCTGATCTAATATTACAGCATCTGATGTTTGAGTATCTTACTCCCAATTGCAAAGTTAGCTATGACTTTTCACAAGTGCATAACATAGGCAAGATCCTTCATATTGAAGACAGTGAATTAGTTGCACTTTGTGAAAACTAATTTCTTTTAAAGAGCAAGGCTGCTACTAGTTTTTTTTTTAGACTAAATATAGGCTTGCACATAGAAAACTGTTCTATTTTACCTCATTTTTTGAAATTCTTTTTTTTTAGACTTTAGTAAACTAATATATATTTTGTATCCTTATGCTTAAAATTTAGCTTTCTGAGCTGTCAAACTGTAAAGGTGATCTGTGTTTTATGCAAGACTTGTGTGAGAAATTGTCCAACACATGGTCAGCAGGTGTGAATACTGGCACACCTTTTAGCTGTACAGAAATGGTGTTAACATCAAAATATAAATCACAGCTAAGAAGTATAATATCCTGAGTGTGAAGCTACTTGCAGTGCAGTGAGATGATAAATACTAAGGTGAAATAAATCTCCTCCACTAATTGCACTTTTCCCTTATGTAATCCTTGCTGTTATGTGTGAGCTAGCCATTTTAAGAATAAACTTTATTTTGATATACCTTGTTCTCGCTTTGTCAGCTCAATGTATTTTCTCAACTTCTGTAAAACAACTTAGTTGTGATACAAGGTACAACCAGTTCCGTACCATGGGATTTGCTAAAGTTGGCTCTAGTGTGGCATCTCAGGTCAGAAGTTGGCATTACCCTGAAGACAAAATCCAGGATCTTAACTAAATGAGAGATAAGTGACAAGTTGTGTCACTTAAAAAACCCCATTGTATCTCACTAAATTTAACTGGAGCATTTTTGTTTGACAGATTCTGTCAGGGATCTTGCTGTGCTGTGGCAAGACTGGCAGGAGTCTGTCTTAATCTGATGGCCAGACTTACCTGCTGAGCTATAGCATTCTTGGTGCTTGGATGGATGAACCTAGACAGCAGCACTTAATGTTTTCTGGCTTGCTGTCACCTTAGCTTGACGAGTTATGCTGCCTCCTGCAGCTTTGCTGCTGTTTGGGACATTGAGAAGTTGGGTTTTCTCCTCTTGTATGCAGGAACCCATTAGAACTGCCATCAGCACCAAAGAGCTCCCTGAATGAAGTGTCTGTCTCTGAGCCAGCCATCACTGTTGCCCTTGCATCATGGGCCTAACCTCACAGTTACTTAGAATGGAGGCAAGGGTGCATAGTTTCCAAGGGCCCTAGTTCCCTGGGGGGCTGGCAGAGGGTTTTGATATACCCCTGATTCTCCTTCATGGCAATTTAGAGCAGCACAGAGTCAGAAGAGGCTAACCAGTACGGGTTGCACACCAGCTACTTCATACGGGATTTCTCAGTACAGTAACTCAGTGACAAGATGCAGTTTAATTCGGTCTGTTGCACACAAAGTCAAGGGTTTCCCAGCAAGAGATCTAGCTTTAATTATGAAAAAGCAATTCCCAAAAGGCAGAAGACATGGAGCTAACAGCATTTTGCTGACCTGAAGAGTGAATTGAGAGCTTCCACATTGCAAAGCCTGCACTGAATGCAGAGCCCTCCTTTCCCCAACACTATCTACCAGTCTCAAACTTTACTATGTACTACACTGGGTCTTACTGCACAGGTGCTCTTATGATACATACTGCACCATCAGCTCCCTGCCCTAGAAAAAAAGTGAACTGAAGAGAGATTTGAAACTTAAGTAGTTTGAAGGCTCCTCTGCCTCAGTGTGGAACTTCTCTTCAGTGAACCAGATGCCAGTTGGAGCAGAAACCTTCCAGCATGAGAAGTAGCTTTTCTTATCCTCCAGCTGGGTTTTGTGACCAGCCAGTCCCACACTCTGCCTGACATATAAATCACTTAAAAATACCAGAAGACAGGTTCCTTTGACCAAGTCTTGGCCTTAGGCCAGGTTCTTTGCAAAGATGCCTTGCAAGGTCTCACTTGCCCAGCAGAGAGTCAATGGAGTGTTACTCTACAGCTCCAAAGCCCTCCCTCAGCTGAGAGGACAAAGGATTTCTCCTTTTTCCACTCCTTACCAAAGCAACACAGTTTCATTCCTTTCTCTTTTAAAAGAGAGCTTGTGTTTAACACTAAAGCTTGCATTCATCAAAAAGGTAACGGGCTCCTAGAGAAAAGTATTACCAACACTAGGGTATATTAACTGGAAAAAAATATTCACCTTACAAATGTATTTATCAGACACAGAGAAAAACATCACTATTGGAAAACTGTTTTAGCATCTTAGAAATCTGCCCTTTCAAACACATCCATTCTAAAAACTGAAGGTATAAAGCAGATGTGATCCTTGAAACAAAGCTTGCAACTTATGGCATCATCTCATTCTCTTAGGAATTCACTTTTTCAGCTCGATTGTAGTTTTGTATTTTCACCACTAATGTGACAGAGGGAATGAGTGGATTCACTCTGCGGGTCTGGCTTTCAGTTATAGCCTATGGGTGGCACAGTACTTACAGACTTTATTCTTCAAACATGAGTATTTCAAGTTGGGTTCCTAATAGCTGTACTCACTTTTGGGAAGCTAGATCTAGTTTTGCCAAGCAAAATTAAATTAAAATTTTATACTAATAAAGATCTGTCTCCCTGGAAGATCAGTGTATGAACATTTCCTGAGAACATAATTGGAATTTTCACAGGCAATTAGTGAACGTCTTTTTCTGCAGTTATATATAGCTAAACAAATTACCATGATTTATATGGTAAATCTGGTATATTAGTGATAATGTGGTAGATGCTACAGTATTAAATAGACATGAAGCAACAACTCACATCCCTCTCAAGCACTACTGAGCTTTAAAATGAAATGTAATCAAGAATAAAATGTTTCAGTGAGGCATAATAAAAGAAAGTAAGGATGTACTAAATCCTGTTGAGAGGTCTCTCCTGTTTCAAGAACCACCTCTACTTCAGCCTTTCCCAGCTGACATTCACCTAACCAGTTCTTACAGTCCTTCAGTGATGGAGGCTCCACAAGCTTTCCAATTAATCTTTCCTTGTCTTACTCTGAGAGTTTCCTGAGGTCTTAGCCTATCTAAAATTAAGCTCTTAGTTTCTTGTTTTATTCTGCATAGGGAAGAAGAAAAAACTATTGCTTTCTTTTTGCAATAGCCTGCAATGGCTTGAGAACAGGAACAGCTTTCCCTTTTCTCCCCACATCCCTTCTCTAGGCTATATAACATATTTCATTAAAATGGATACGTTGACTTTCCATCCTTATTTGGAAAGAACCTGTTAGACCTTCGGATTGTCCTTCATGCAGAAATATCCCTCTTGGCTATCTCTGACGAAAGCCTCATGTTGTGGTCCTCAAAATCACCAGTGAAAGCTTAGCACAGTTCAATACCCATTTTTCATTGCTCAACTGACTTCATCTGTCTCATACAATAAGGCCTGAGGAATGTATGGCTCATTTCTGCAGTGCTCGATGGCCTGTCTGTGAAGCTTATGACAGCCGGGCAGGTTGAGTCAGTGATGCACTTCACTGACCATTTATTCTGAGGATGGCATTTCCTCCATTAAAAACATTATATACAATAAGTTGGCAACCAGAAGTGATCCAGGGGGAATAAGTATTAAATAAGCAATCAAATGTACTATAGCAGAAACAGTGAGGGTGCAAGAGAAGAAAGTGATCTACAGTTTACTGTACTGTAAAAGAAATGAGAAAGAATAAAATCAAAATTATTTTCTTTAAGGGTGTTACTGGGGAAATATCTCAGCTATCTCTTTATATTTCAGGTCATCGTAGTACTTTATATGCTTTTGCAGCACCATACCTTTAGGAAAAACATGAAAGTGTCTGTTGCTACACACTTGGCAGCAATGGGAGTGATATGGCAATTCCCCTCTCTTGCAGAAATGGTAAAACAACACAAAAACCTTCACACAGCAAAGCTCATGCCCTAAATAGTCCACTCATCCCTGAATCACACACACAACTATAGTTAAACATGAAGTCAAATCTGTGAATTTGTAATGCCAAAAGCAAGTATCTCTTTTTTTTTTTTTTCCCCATAAAATGTCTCTTACTGATATCCCTTTGAGAAAACATTTTACAGATTAAATCAGAGTATGCAGCAAGCATCATTAACTGAAATCCGGGAAAGGTCGGGATGAAGGGGTTTTTTTGCGTGTGGGCTTTTGGTTTTGTATGTTTGTGGGTTTTAAATATTTTTCTTCACAAGGCTTTGTCTTTTTCTTCTGCTTTCCCATTCACAATCTCCCTCCAATTTCCCCTGCCTGGACCTAATTCAACATTGAACCAGGAGATATGTAGGTTCTCAAGGCATCCAGCTGCCTTACTTTAGCCCAACAATTACAATAGAATTTATAGAGATA